CTCGGACTATATGAAATTAATTATAAGCTTGAATTACTAATTTTAATGTAAGGAATACTACAGTAACTTCACGTTTAATTTTAAGTTGAATTGTACAAAATTAAAATTAAATGTCGTAAGTATATAGTTTGCCTATTTGCCTAATTTGCTTTAGACTAATCTAAAAACTTTTTTATTACAGGAATGTTAAACTTGCTTTATTTGTTCTTATTAAGCACTACCAAATGAGCAAATAAGGCAAGTTTAACATTCCTGTAATAAAAAAGTTTTAAGATTTTTCTAAACCAAATAAGGCAAATAGTCAAATTATATACTTACGACATTTAATTTGAATTTTATATAATTCAACTTGTAATTAAAATTAAATGTGAAGTTACTGTAGTATTCCTTACAATAAGATTAACAATTCAAGCTTATAATTAATTTAATATAGCACGAGTGAGTTTTAACTTAGGCAACCCTTCCTAAAAAGGTACACTTTCTTCATCAAAATGCTTCTACGGATGGAATAACCTGTTCGTTGAAGCACGAACTTCTAAACCCAGTACTATTACGATTTTTAATTGTAGGGAAATCTACTTTACTGAATATTGGGCATTTATAAATTTTAAATCCTGTATAGAATCTCATTGTTAAACTGTTGTAATATTGACTAAAAAGAATAAAAGATTATATAGTATTACTATATAGTATTAGTACTTTTTCCATCCAGTCTGAAGCTAATTTCATGGCTCTCCACCCACCCTTATTAACCCACACTTCCATCCTTGCAGTATAATAGACTCTTATTTAGAGTAGGGGTGGGCATAAAAATCAATCGGAGGACCAAAGTGAATTTTCGATTTAACACAGAGGGCCGAAACCTAGCTTTGATGTTTCAAGTGTGCTTCCAAAAACCTTCATGCAGTGCTTTTATGTCATTTGATTCTCAGTTTTAATATTACTTTTTACAGGTGATCAGTGTCGGGCCGTAAAAGACTAGGGGTTTTCTATCACTGTGCCCACCTCAATGCCGAATACTTCACAGTTACTTTCATCACATTAACTTACTAGATAATACTAGATATAATCTATAATAATCTAGGTTATTTTTTAATAAGGGGGTGTCTGGCAGACACACCCCACCATCAGAATTGTCTGGCGGTGGCCATTCATAAACTTGGACTACGATGAAATTTTACAGTAAGTTTCATCAGGTTAACTCATTACATAATCTAGGTCAATTCTAGTGGTAGGGAATAAGGGGATGTCTGGTGGGTACACCCCACCACTATAAATGTTCGGCAGTGGCCACGGGTACTATGCTAAACATTTTCCAATATGTTTCATCGGGTAACTCAGTCACAAATGTTTGACTGTCATTGTGGTCACTCATGTTACATATAAACATGTCATGTCATGTAACATTCCACAGGTTAACTCACTAGATAATCTT